TAAATGTGTTGTATAATAAATTATTTTGTCTGATTATTGTTGCTATTTATTAAAACTCTCATAGATAATAAATAATCTTAAATCCCCACAAGGCACACATTTTTTCGAAAAAAAATGGTCAGGTCTACTAACACGGGAGATTCGATAGAAGTACAATTCTAACAAAATTAGCTTGTTTTCTCATTTCACGTCAAATGTTTCTGCTTCTAGTTTTCTAATAATAATAACTGAAAATTATTATGCTAATTAATATATAGTAATATAGTAATATATACAGGGTGTTCGGTCCAAGTCGCCCCGGCTGATAACACGTAAACTTAATTCCTTTTTTCAAAAAGTAAATATTTAAGTAATAATATTCATTCTTGGCTTTCTTAATAAATGTATTATTTTTTTTAGCACATCCGGTGTTGCCGGAAATGCTACCAAATTTAGTTTTTTAAATGGAACATCTATGTTTTTTTTCCTCCAAACAATAATAATTGACATGAAAAATACTGTAAACCACTATTTATTACACTTTGCGTAACACAATGCAATCAAAAAACATCTTAAATCTTAGAATTTTATAAGGAAATTGGTCGTGTAGCCTAATTTTTCATTTTAAAGGAAAGATGTGAATAAAAAAATTCTTGGATACAGTTTAATTGTTGGTTTGACAAATTTAATTTGTCAGTTGATGAGCGAGTTTTGTTATGGAAACTCTTGGATTTTCTTCGACTGATAACAGAACATTCAGATTTCTATTTTCTTGTTCTCACAAAGAATCACAGGTTTTTTAGTTTTAAGAAGCGAACCTATTCGTCTCAGTTGTTTTTCAATTCGACTAAATTTCCAACGATTTGGGTAAACTCTATTTGAGTTTTTTTCTCTATACTGTCTTTCAGCACCCGCTCAATTTTTACTGCACTCGAAAAACACTTAAAAGCTGATCTACCAATTCGTCGTAATTAAGGCTCCAGACCCCCTGAAAGCTGGCGTATACCTATTGTATGTAAATTTATTTCATTCTTTTTAGCCGCAAATTTAGACTTGAAGAGTTTCTTGATTTTTGTAGTGTTTCTTTAAAGGTAAATAGAGAGATCTCAATAAGATTTATTGACAAATTAGGCTTTGTCAAACTAACAATTAAACGGTATCCAAGCATATTGCTTTTTGCATGAATACCTTGACAAGTAAAATCCGCCTACGTTGCAAAATTTGCAATCAAATTCAAAATTTTAAATTGTTTTCTGAGTGCATTATGTAAAGTAAAATGTAATAAATAGTGGTTTACCGTATTTTTCATGCCAATTATTATTGTTTCGAGCAAAAAAAACATAGGTGTTCCATTTGAAAAACTAAATTTGGTACCATTTCCGGCTACACCGGATGTGCCAAAAAAACTTGATGCATTTACTAAGAAAGCCAGGAACGAACAGTATTATTTAAAAATTTACTTTTTGAAAAAAATAAGTTAGTTTAGGTGTTATCAGCCGGGGCGACTTGGACCGAACACCCTGTATAGTAATAGTGGTAAAAGCAATGAACTAGGAGGCATTTTTGGGCAAAATATATTTATTAATAATTTAAAAACAACAGTGTTTTATTACATGGTGTTTATTGAATTTGTTAAGAATTAATATTTTGTAATAAATACGAAAACCCTAAAACGAATATTTAGGTCTACCGTTAAATATCGTGACTTTTACATCAATCACAATATCTCAAAAACTAAACACTTTTTTAAAAAAGAACAACGTATCGGCCTATAGAATATTCTTTTAAATTATCTTACAAAAACCAAAATTGATTACTTGAAAAATGACTGAGTAAAGTTGTTTTCAAGTTCACCATTTATGCATTTTTGTTCTTTTTTTTTAAGTATTGAATTTTTAAAAAAAAAATCTCAACGTATCGGCCTGTAGATTTAAAAAACTTTTATTTTGATGTTCAATACATGAAATTCTGTTGCATATTAAGAGAGTAATCTTGTTTTCAATATACAAACGTCTCGAATCGTTGGACACCCTTAATTTCAACCAAAACTTGAATTATCGGGCATGCACGCGCATGAATCGGAATAATCTCATTTCTCGGAACAAAACTGCACAGATAACACTTCCGGTTACAATAACCTCGAAAGATGCAGGAAAATGACGCATTACGCGATACCGTGGGACATTATTTAATTGGAGCGATTCGCAAAATGGTGTCCGAATTATCAAGATGGCGGCTTTATCGCTTATTTATGCGCTTTTTCAGGTTTCTTCCCATTATTCTCGCTGTCGCTTTTCATGTTTATTATCATATCGTCTGGTTTATGTAACGGCCCACGGGCCACTTGCAAACTTTTACGATATGTGGAGGAGTGCAATAAACCCAAATAATTTTGGTGATGTTTTTCACCCGCATTCCTTGTCGATTAGCCGATCCAAATCCGATCGTAACAGTAACAATCCGCCATATGTTCGGATTGTTCTCCTAATGGCTGGTTTATTTATAGAAATTACGAGTTATTATCGTCTCGAATTGCGTATACAAACGAGAAACGGCCTCAAAATGTATGCCTTATCGGGGTTTGCTTAGCGCATACCTCAAGGGCCCGCGCGTGGCCCACTGGGCACTCCGGTTGCGCTAATGAGACATCCGGGAAGAGTGTCATTTCTTCAGGAGTCATCGGTTTGCGAGAAATGCGCCAACGAAGGCTTTTCTAACGCTTGGATCAGCGAGTTTGGTGCCACATTTCACTCGACGTGACCTCTCAATTGGGAATAATTGCCCAAATGGGCAAGTGACATCACTAATTGATCAAAGCACTGATTCCTCCGGCCGGAGATGACGATTTTTTTCATTTATTTTTAATTTCCATTTGTTGAAATGACGCAACACATTTCATAGCGGCCACCAAAGTCTTTTTCTTGTTGCAGTCTGGTCGAGTCGTTTTTTTCGGCTCATCTCTGGACTGGTTTCGAGAGGATTTGCCAGATAAAAGTTTTACGGGGCCGTCATTGACACAAGAATTTTTTAATTTGGGCCCGGATGATTCATGCTTTTAATTGGGATGCAAATCGGGTGGACGTGGTGGACGCATTGCGACCGGAACCTAACAAGTGTTTGTTTGGTCAGACTCAATTAAAATAAATAGGTATCAAAGAGTTGCTGAATGAAATAATAAATTTCCATCTCGAACATGTGTCGCCTGTCGATGGGAATTAAGCGATGTTTCGTTGAGCTACAATTTTGTCATTGCTATTTTCAGCGAGGAAGTTTGAGGCAATTTTATGAAATGCGTAACCGCAAACATTTTTAATTATGTTTTGATTTGGGTTGAAAATAAACCACAGATTATTGTTATCAGCCAAATTCGTGGATTAGAAATTTTGAAGAAACGCGGCTCGAAAATAGTCTTGAGCAATTTTATTCCATGCTACGGAATTATTACTTCCAGTTAAATGATACGATTATAAACAAACTTCAAACGTTGTATTTACTATTAATTTGTCAAATAAATATTTATTCAAACTTTGTTCAATAACTGCTAATAATATCATGTAAGTATCAATTGCCTAACAATTTTTCAAGGATATTAATTTTATTTATCGAAATTTATTACAGAACACAAATGTTGCCAATTATGTAATTTCGTCTGGTTATAGCATCAAAAGCGGCTGTGCATTGAACTCAAAATGGACCAAGACATTATGTCAAATATATATTTTTTTAATTCAATTTTTCACATTTTTCTTGATGAGTTATCTACTGACAATGTGGTAAAAATAGACACTCAGTAAATGAGTGCAAACTGTTGAAGTTTGATTTTTTTCTTCTCAAATAAACAATTCTTCACACTTCATTTTCTCTTTCCTTCACACCCACTTCTCGTAACAAACAAATTTCCTAACAAGGCCCTCGCAACCCAAACCCAACAGTACCATAACAGGCAATGCTTTCGATCAAATCAATCATAACAATCAATAATGTTTACCTGAGAAATACAATTATTCGTAGAGAAAGTCAAAGTATCATCAGAATTTCAGACGAATTTATCTCGAAACTGCGAATTTGCATGTAAAAGAACAAGTCGGTGATAATTGCCTTAATATTAATAACGAATATGTGACCTCATTACCATATACGGCGCTGGCAAGTGCAATGAAATCATTCCGTGACATTTAAAAATTAGCGTTTTATCCTGCAAGCTGCAACTTCTATTAAATCTCGCGTCATGGGGTGACATAATCGGCAGTAAAAATGAAGCGGTGGTCGCACAAAGTCAAAGTTTTGGTTAGAGTTGACGGAAAAATAGCAAATTTCCTATCTTGGTTGTTTCGTTCGACACTTTCGGTTTCAACCGATCTGTAAATATTTATATTGAGCATCCGAGTCTTTGACCTTCTTACTGCTTTATCAATGGAGACTCGACCATTGTCCGCTTTTTTCCCCCAAAACTTAAAATATCGATGGCTCAGAGATTTATTTACGCGTTTTACGGTCCCGGAAATGTAAACCGTAAACTGTTACGAGTTCTTTGTTTATTCTGACTAAATCGCACGGATTTTGCCGCGATTATGGCGTTTCTATAATTGGCTTCCGATAGGGCGTTAACCCATTTCGAGCAGATTTTTCTCTTCATTTCCGATTATTTTCGCACTCAAAGGTCACCGGGAACATGTGTGCCGCCCACGGACCCACATATGGTCAATGATGAGCCGAACACTTGTCACAATTTTCCAGAAACGGCATAACTCGATGTCAAGGACGATTTATTTTAAAACTTTCGGGCATTTGAATATTTGGAACACGAAGATGATGTGACCCTTGACGGAGATTACGACAGTTTGTGCCATCTTTGAGATAAGAAACGTTGACATAAATTCGCTTGACCCTCCATTAATTAAAAATGAGAGTTCAAGTGATTAGCGCCAGATTTTGACAAAATTAGTTTTGGAAACGTTGCATTAAATTGGAATTTATTTTGGGATTTGTGTCAGAAAGTGTTTAATTTTTTCCAATTCCAGTCATGCAAAGGCTGCTATAACGCCTATCAATGCGATTGTAAGGGCATCAAAGGCCGCCCCGGAAGCACCGGCCCTCCAGGCCTCCCTGCACCACCTGGAGACTACGGTGATATCGGTCCTCCGGGTCCGTCAGGACCTAAAGGAGAGAAGGGAGAAGGCGGCGAGTATGGAAGCCCCGGTGAAAGAGGCTCCAGAGTAAGTCCAAATAATTGATCCTTCTTTTTTAATACGTTTTTGTATAGGGAGACGATGGAGAACGAGGACTTCCTGGAGTGGAAGGACGACCAGGTTATCAAGGCGAAGCCGGCCCCATGGGCCCTCCAGGTCTCGATGGTTGTAATGGTACAGATGGGACAGAAGGAGCTCAAGGTGCTCGAGGCCTTCAAGGTACCAGAGGCTTGCCTGGCCCTGAAGGACTTCAAGGATTTAGAGGAGAACCCGGTGATGGTGGAGGAAATTCAATTGGGACTAAAGGAGATCGCGGTGATAGTGCCTACGATGGCCCTCCTGGGTTACCTGGATTTCGAGGTTCCAGTGGACCTCCAGGCCGGATCGGTGAACCTGGATATGAAGTAATAGAAAAATTAATGAATTTGCAAAACATAATAGAGGATTTTAGGGATTAATGGGAGAACAAGGCTATTGGGGACCTCCTGGCGACATTGGTGACTCAATTAAAGGTCTCAAAGGGCAACCTGGAGAACAGGGTGACTATGGAGACGAAGGAGAACCAGGGGATGATGAACCGGCTCCACAACGTCCTCCACCATCCATGTATGAATGGAAAGGCATCAAGGGTGAGAAAGGAGACGTGGGAGAACGAGGGATAAGAGGACGAAAAGGTTTTCCGGGAGATAAAGGATTTCCGGTGGGTTTTTGCAATTTCCAAAATATTATATTTAATAAGTAATTTTAGGGGTTTCCCGGTCCTAAAGGTAGTATAGGTTACAAAGGTGAACAGGGCGACGATGGCCCGACTGGAAAACAAGGTCGCCAAGGGCCTTTTGGACCTTCGGGTGAAAAAGGAGATAAAGGAGCTCCTGGATATGAAGGAACTCCTGGATTTGACGGTGAACCTGGTCTTAGAGGAGAAGATGGCAATCGAGGCACTCCTGGTGTTCAAGGTCGAAGCGGACCTCCTGGAAAATACGATCCATTTTTGGATGAAATTTTTGAGGGATCTCCTGGAATACAAGGCCCCGAAGGTCCTATCGGTGAAAGAGGCATGAGTGGTATTCCGGGACGGCCAGGGTTACCCGGACCTATCGGACCGCCGGGGCCACCCGGCCCTCATGGTATTCCCGGATTAGCTGGACCTAAAGGATTGACAATTAAGGGAGAGCGCGGCATTGATGGATTACCCGGGAGGCCTGGTAACACCGGTCCTCCTGGTCTACCAGGACCTATGGGTGTCTTGGGTGAGAAAGGTTTTGCGGGACAGACCGTCATTGGTCCTCCAGGCGAACCTGGCTATCCAGGAATCCCCGGATTTAAAGGATCAAGAGGAGATAGAGGCGATGCAGGTGACGCGGGGCCTAAAGGTTACCCAGGATATGGTGTTCCGATTAGAGGGCCTCCGGGTGACGAAGGACCGACAGGATTTCCGGGTTTGCCAGGAGACGTTGGTTTACCCGGATTCGACGGATTTCCAGGTTTAAAAGGTAGAAGAGGAGATGACTGTGGAGTGTGTCTTCCGGGATTGCCGGGACAAAAGGGCGAAAGAGGAGAATTTGGTAGAAATGGACGTCCTGGAACGATTGGATATCAGGGATTGCCCGGACCGCGAGGACCCAGAGGCCCGCAGGGGAAACAAGGGAAGGATGGTGAGCAAGGATTGGAAGGCACTCCTGGAACTCCAGGCTTACAAGGCTCTCCGGGACCAAAAGGTACAAAAGGTTTATTAATATACCCGGATCCGTCAACGAAGGAAGTTGTGGCTGAAAAGGGTGAAATGGGAGAAATGGGTTTTCCGGGTTTGATGGGACGAGATGGAGAGATTGGACCACGAGGTTTACCAGGAGATGCGGGAGTTCCTGGGTTCAAGGGTGAAAGTGGTGACATTGGGACTCCTGGGTTGCCTGGGGTTGATGGAGTGCCTGGAATAAATGGAATTCCTGGACAAAAAGGGGAACCTCACGACATACCAAAGGAATATTTGAGAGGGGATCAAGGATTAACGGGAGTACCGTGAGTTTCACAAACAATTGATTTTTCATATTTTATAAAATTATTTTTTTAGAGGTATTAAAGGTTCAAAAGGAGATAAAGGAATGATGGGACGTCCTGGCGATTCAGTATCAGAACTTGCTAATGCTACAGGAGATATTGGTTACCCAGGAATACCAGGAGATCGAGGTGTGTATACCAAACACAAAATTGTTATAAATTATTTTTGATGACAAAATTTTAAGGTTTTCGCGGTGCACCTGGTCGTAAAGGCATGCCAGGATATAGAGGTCCTGATGGTCTCCCTGGAATGATTGGAGATAGTCTGGAAGGTCCTCCTGGTGAACCAGGTGTGAGAGGTTATCCTGGCATTCCTGGTGACGCTGGACCACGCGGCCTTCCTGGAATGCCTGGTATGCCCGGTCTTGATGGTTACCCCGGAATACCAGGAAATAAAGGAGAACGGGGAGATCCAGGTTTACGAATTCTGAATGGGGAAATGGGACCTCAAGGTCTACCCGGAACCAAAGGAGAGCCAGGCGATTTCGGTCCTGACGGATATCCGGGAATTCCAGGAACTCCAGGAGTAAAAGGGGTCAACGGACCTAAAGGAGCTCCCGGATTTGCCGGGCTTCCAGGTGCACCAGGAGCGAAAGGAATGCAAGGGATTATGCGACCAGGATTTCCTGGTCGTCCCGGAAGTCTTGGACTTCCAGGAATACCAGGCAGATATGGAGATACTGGAGAAAAGGGAGAACCGGGATTCCCTGGTACTCCTGGATATGATGGAATGAAAGGAGAACCGGGATTATGGGGATTAAGGGGACAACCGGGAGATGAAGGGATTGAAGGTTTGCCAGGACATCATGGCAGAGCTGGTTTATCCGGGATTCAAGGCTTACCAGGAGAAAGAGGCGACATTGGGTTTCCTGGGATACGCGGACCTCCAGGTCCGCAAGGACTTCTAGGACCAAGAGGACCTAAAGGGTTAGAAGGTGATAGGGGTCCACAGGGATTTCCTGGAGAAATGGGAATTCCAGGAGAATCTGGACCTAGAGGAGAAAGCGGTTATCCGGGAGTAAAAGGCCCAAAAGGTGAATCTGCAATTAGTGGGCCTAAAGGAGAATCCGGAGAACCTGGATTGATAGGAGAATCTGGTTTTGATGGAGAACCTGGCTTACCTGGAGCTCCAGGTTTACCTGGAGACCGTGGTTTAGATATTTATGGTCCTCCTGGACCTACAGGAGATGTTGGGACACCTGGATTTCCAGGAAGAGACGGAGAACCAGGATTAAAGGGGGAACGTGGAGATGACGGAATCGACGGCCTACGGGGCATTCCAGGTGAACGGGGAATTCGTGGAGCTCCTGGTACACCTGGTTGGAATGGTCTAAATGGCACAAAAGGAGAACGAGGAGATTACGGAAATCCCGGTTTTCCCGGAAACAAAGGCGAATCCGGCATGGAAGGAGAACCGGGCCGAATGGGTCGACCAGGAATGCCAGGGGATATAGGCCCGCCAGGAATATCTGGACCTCAGGGATCAGCAGGACCTAAAGGAAACCAAGGTCTTCCCGGTTTAGCACCATTCGGATTCGGCGAAAAGGGCGATTTTGGTGAAACCGGACTTCACGGTTTAGCTGGGAACAAAGGAATACGCGGAGATGATGGTTTTTACGGTCCTCCAGGTCTGAAAGGACCCACTGGTGATTCTGGACAACCGGGATTGCGAGGCGAACCGGGTTATCCAGGAATAAAAGGCGAATTCGGTGATTCCGGCGAGCCTGGACCTCCAGGACTCCCTGGACGAAACCCAGAATCTGGCGAACCGGGGCGACCTGGTTTTGATGGCTTACCTGGTCGTGCAGGACGACCCGGACAAAAAGGTGCTCCAGGAGAATACGGACTTGACGGCCCCCCTGGAATCACAGGAAGTCCTGGATTCAGCATAGATGGAGAAAAAGGTGATTTTGGAGATTCAGGATATCCAGGCCCTCCCGGTGCGCCTGGACCTGAAGGTCTCCCCGGTTTACCTGGATTACCTGGCAAAACTGGTCCCAAAGGGCCTACGGGTGATTACGGATTTTCCGCTATTACCTTCAAAGGTGAGAGAGGCGAGCCTGGATATCGGGGCGCTCCCGGTTTCAACGGAACGAAAGGAGAACGCGGCGATAGTGGTCTTTCTGGATTCCCTGGACTTCCAGGTGAAAAGGGCCGTTCAGGATTCCCAGGAGATGACGGCCTTCCAGGCTATGATGGTACTCCTGGAATCAAAGGACCTAAAGGAGACCGAGGAGACTGGTCTATCAATGCCCTTCCGGGACCTCTAGGAGACGCCGGTTTACCCGGTTTTGATGGACTTCCTGGACTTCAAGGTTTACCAGGCGAAGCCGGATTTCCAGGCTTACCTGGACGCAAAGGCATGCGTGGAGATGCCGGTCTTAACGGATTACCAGGGTTTGAAGGGCCGAAAGGCATGTCAGGGTTACCTGGATTTGCCGGATTGCCAGGTTTGCAAGGAGCTAGAGGGGCACCTGGGGTTCGAGGCGAACCAGCGCCGCCGCCACCAGCACCCAAAAGTCGAGGATTTTTCTTTACGAGACATTCACAATCAGAATTAATTCCAGTGTGCCCCCGAGATACGGTTAAATTGTGGGATGGCTATTCGTTATTACATATCATGGGCAATGATAAGGCCATGGGACAAGACTTGGGGACCCCAGCCAGTTGTTTAAGAAGGTTCAACACTATGCCTTTCTTGTTTTGTAATTTGAACGATGTTTGCGACTATGCACAGAACAATGGGTACAGTTATTGGTTGTCTACGACAGAGCCAATGCCGGCGATGATGACACCCATTCCAGCACCAGAAGTCAGACGCTATATTTCAAGGTAAAATTAAAGATTTTTTTCCAATTTGCGTTTATAATACGTTTATTAACGTCTCTCAGCAGGAGTCGTTTATGGCTATCTACAGAGTGTTCCGTTTTTATTGTTACAAATTTAAACAGGTGATAGGATATTCAATTCTAAGACAAAAGTTTCCTATAAACATGTATCGAAAAATGCTTGGTAAGGGAGCTACACCCACTGGAAGGGGGCCAATATGTTTTTGCTAATATTTCAGAAACCGTTTAAGATAAAATTACAAAACTTGTTACAGATGATAACCTTTGTATAAAAGTAGTGGTACTTTAATGAATTTAGGGTTATTTAGTTTTTGTATGCCGCATCTGACTTGTCAGGTAACAAATTTTGCGGCAATTTCGCGAATTTCGGGCGGAGTGCAAACTAAATTCTGTTTCTCATATTTTATTTATTATTATTATGTTGTAACACTAATAACTAATAATTTGTAAATTTTATTTTTAATGACAGACGGCAGAAATGATTCAAAAAATCAGGTGGGCGCCGAGTGTTACCAACCGATACCAACTAACACAAAATTCTCTAGACGACAAAAATATATATTTTTTTAATTAAAATAAGTAAAAAGGGGGCGCAAATTAGAAAAAATAGTATAAAATACTCGTTTTATAATGACATTGGCGCACTCATCCCATAGAAAACTCGCCTAAGGCTTGGTATTCGTGCGCCAAATCAACCTTTATAAAACTTGTTCTTTAATATACTATAGTAATTTGTAACTGCAATCGTTTCGCTTTTACAGATGCTCCGTCTGCGAGTCCGTCACACGCGTCATCGCCGTCCACAGTCAATCCACGACCATACCTCAGTGTCCTAACGGCTGGGAGGAACTCTGGGTGGGCTACAGCTTCCTCATGGTAACCCTCATCCCCCTCTCAAACCCACTTTTATTTAACATATATTCCAGCACGTGGACGCCGGCGCCGAAGGCTCGGGCCAATCCCTAGTCTCCCCCGGCTCCTGCCTCGAGGAGTTCCGCCCCAAACCCTTCATCGAATGCCACGGTCACGGCCGCTGCAACTACTACACCACCATCCTCTCCTACTGGCTGGCCACCATAGAGGACGCCGCCATGTTCCAAAAACCGCGTTCGGAGACTCTCAAAGCCGGATATTTGACCTCAAGGGTCAGCAGATGCGCCGTATGTATCCGCAGACGGTACGCTAGTCGCACCGGACTTGTGCCCCCTAGTCAGATCACCAGACCCAGACCCTCATACGTGGCCCCGTATCGGCCCCCAGGGTATCCCCAAGGAAGTTACAGGAATTTGGAGGAGAACAGGAGGAGGCGTTTAAGGCAGAGATTGAGACACAGGAGACCGCAAAATACTCCGTGAGCGATGTGCCATAACAGTTATTAACTTTTGTAATTATGTGTAAATTAATTGTAAAATAGATTTGATGTTAACATTTGTCCTTGAGAAGGATTATACGCCGTGTTCAAACACAAATCCTATTAGACTATTTTTACTTGTAAGGATTTAGGTTTTTAATTTTATTTAAACGGTTACGACAGTGGATGCTCCTTGTATAGAATTTATTTTTTTAATCCTTGATGAATTCATGCTTGTTTATCTCAAAGGTGCTAATTAGTTTTAAGGCTTACGACAGGAAAATGTGATTCATATTTTATGTGCCTTTCTATTAAACACTGCCAAATGATTTTGTAATGTAACAATTGAATAAATAATAAAAACGATTTTTGCACTTTTTTTTCAGAGGAAGCTGTTAGGTATTATGAAAAACCCAATCGGTATGTACAACTTTTACTTATCACAAATCTAGTTATTATTTATAAATCATACATACAAACATACTGAATGCTGGTGTGATAGTGACCAGATAGAAAATTATGACACTACCAGACTCACAACAAATTATAAAAACAGTTTAACAAAATACAATCACCTTTAATTAATAGAAACTCTACTTCGCAAATCCGTTATTCAGTTCAATTTTGCTGTCAGTAAACTGCATATGATTCTCAATGATTTGGAAAAGCTCTGCAGGTTGTGGTATCCTCCCTGTCTCTAGTTTGGACCAAACAGGAACGTCATTTAGAGAAATTTCAAAAGCTCCCGACTGTATCAACTGTCCTTCAATAATGTTGCATACAAAAAACAGCATCATGCAAGCATAAAGTTTGTTTTCTGTGCACCAAATCCACCATGAAGGTTGTGGTTGGTTAATATATTCAAATATGTTAATGGCCCCCAAAATACACACGATTATGACCATTTTAACGATACCCTGTAAAAACACAATCATCTACTTTCACTTATTATGTCTATCATACTTACAATAAGTCTGGCCAAATACATGTTGAAGCCTGGGGGGTCGTAATTCTGACCATCAACGATTATAAACGGGTATTTCTGTTCAACGATTTTTACATATTGCTCGAACGTTTTTCGATAACCACAGGAATAACTAAATTAGATAATTAAATTATGTTAATAGAGGGTGGCGAACTTACCAATACAAAAATTTTAAGGTTGGGGCACCAACATTTTGGCTTAGTTTCGATGGTAGGACATCTTCAGCTGCTACATTACTGTATGATTCGAGAAAACACAGCCCCGCGAACGCCGCCAAATACCAAAAACATGATATTTGTCTTAAACCAGCCATTTATTTTGCTTTCTAATGCTTTTATTGTCAGCTGATAATTTTCCAATGACAGGTGGAATGTAGGGGAATTTGGACACCAACTAGATCACCACATTAATTCATAATAATTGTTACACCATAACAAAACAAAATAAAATTCGTTTAATTACTACAAAAACAGTCAGTAAACAATAAAAATATAAATTGAAAAATCTCTAGAGTCCTAATTTCTACAAACTTTGTGTTTCTCAAACAATTCTAGTGTTTTTGTTCGTGTTGCGTTGCCACCTAACTTTTGACATTTAGCAGTTAAAAATGGCGTCTCGTGGGGCTGCTTCGAGGCGTGTGCCTGAAAATGACTCTACGATTGCTTACGTGCAAGCCGACGGCCTGGTAATTATCCCTGCAGTTGTTTAAACCCAAAAGTCATTTTTAATTAATCATTATTTGTAATTTTTGGCGTGTTAACCTAACATACGGAACCTAACCTCTTTCAGGCCGTCATGAAAATTGTAAAACACTGCCATGAAGAATCGACCACTAACATGGACATAGCCCAAGGGGCTCTCCTTGGTCTAGTCGTTGAAAACCGGCTTGAAATTACGAACTGTTTCCCATTTCCCAAACAAACGGATGAGACAATGGACGAAGATGAGTACCAATTGGCGATGATGCGGCGCCTGCGACGCGTTAACGTTGACCATTTCCATGTGGGGTGGTACCAAAGCGCTGACGTTGGGAATTTCCTCAGCCTCCCCCTCCTCGAATCGCAATTCCACTACCAAACCTCAATTGAGGAGTCCGTCGTTGTGATATACGACACTCAAAAGTCCTCGCGTGGGTTCCTCACACTTAAAGCCTATCGCTTGACCCCTCAAGCTATCGAGATGTACAAAGAGGGCGAATTCACCCCAGAAGCGCTTTTGAAACTCAAAGTCGGGTATGAAAATCTCTTCATTGAGGTCCCCTTCGTCATTAAAAACTCCCCCTTGACCAATATCATGATGTCCGAATTGCAAGAACTCGTCCCGGAAGAAGAAGGCTCGAAATTTTTAGATTTGGGGACAGCGTCGGTTCTCGAGGGGCAATTGCGGTGTCTCATGGACCGCGTTGATGAACTCAATCAAGAAGCGATTAAGTTTAATAGATACCAACAGTTGGTCAGCAGACAACAGCAAGATAAACATAGATATTTGCAAAAGAGGGCACAGGAAAATGCAGCTAGGGCTGCGAAAGATGAGCCCCCATTGCCCGAAGAGGACATTAATAAGTTGTTCAGGCCACATCCGGTGCCCCCGAGACTTAATCCGATGATTATCGCAGGACAGATTAATACATACAGTCAGGCTATTTCACAGTTGTGTTCTCAGAGTTTGGCTAAATTGTATATTACGCAAGCGTTACAGAATGCCAAGGAGGCGAATTCTAATCCTTGAAGTGTATTTTGTTACGTTGTTTGACAATAAATTAACATGCAAAGGGTTTGGGTTTTATTTCAAACCGGGTTTGCCAAACGGTTAATACCGATTATGGTGTCATTATTTTTTACTTGAAAGTCCATTTTTTATTTATGCGTGTGGATCAATTAATAATTTGAAAGACGTACAGTTGCGGAATTAAAATTTCGGGCAGTATAGTCATTTTCATAATGTAAACTCTAAAACAATTTTTCCATTAATAACCTCATTTTTTACTCTTGTCATGTTTGTCATTTTGACTTCTTTACTTTCAAAAATACTGATTTGTGACATACTAATTAACAATTTTAACAAAAAAAAATAAGTTTAATTGTCAAATGCCAGTCATCATGACAGTAAAAGGTAGTTTACAGTGAACTTTTTAAAGTAGTTGAAAAATACTGCCCGAAATTTTAATTCCGCAACTGTACCAGATATCTATCTCTTTTCAACATTTGTAAGCAGCCTTGATGCGTATCACGCTATTTATCTCACTTTAACAAATGCGATTAAAGTAACGCAGAGCTAGTGACGTACAGTTGCGGAATTAAAATTTCGGGCAGCATTGTCATTTGTAAACTCTAAAACAAGCTTTACATTAATAACCTCATTTATCATGTTTATGTCATTTTTTTGACTTAAAAAATAGCGTCACTGACAGAAAAGTTTAATTCTCAAATGTCAGTCATGATGACAGTAAAAGGTAGTTTACACTGAATTTTTTGAAGTGACAGAAAAAATACTGCCCGAAATTTTAATTCCGTAACTGTACGTCAAAAGTGTGTCTTACTTTAGTACCAAACTGTCAGAAGGTGTCAAATGTGAAAAACACACAGAGGTCATGTCGTGTTCTTTATTCACACTACCCCCACCAGCAAATAAAAAAATAGACTGTATTTTGGAATAATATGAAATAAAAGACGCAAGATTTAAAAAATAATGTATTCAATTGCCCTAAACATCAATTTAGTCATTACAATCTTACAACCCTAAAGAAATGAATTTTATTTATTTACATTTCTATTGCACAAACTGGCCAAAATGTACACATTTTTATTTGTGCAACTTTCTCAAACTTATACGAACCAATAACAAACAACACACGCAAAAAACAACAACAAAACAAGACTAGATAATCACAAATCGTTTCGTATTATGCTATCAGCAGTTCAATCAATAAGAAAAATCGTGTCATGAGTATAAAAATGTTGATTAATTCATTTGAAAAAATTCCCCATTTTACATAGATAAAATAGCTTAAAACTACGACTAGATTCTAGGTAACATTCACCACTGGCGTCGTCCCATTTATATTTACAGAATTTTAAAATGGCACATGGACAAATCCACGGATTTATATTATATCTACACACGTACCGAAAAAGCCTTTTGGTACAAATACATATACAGTGTGGACCAACAATAAAAGTACTTAGCTTGCCTTTTATTTTAGTCACGTGACTCACTTTAAATCAAACGCCTACATATTCCCGACATTAATCGAAATATTGTTGTGATTGACGGGTTTGAACGGCTCAACACTGTCAACAATCGCCTCAGCCAAATAACTCCTAATTTTATTCGGAACGAATAATTTTTCCAAATCCTGCTTACTCCTAATCCTCTTGACGATCACCGCCCTACACCTATCTTGCAAATTAACGAAATCCCTTTTCATCGAATCCAAATACATCTCAGTCTTGGCTGCCGTGGAGCAAATAATGGGGTATAGCGGCTCCTTGATCTCGTTGAGCCCCCTGAAGGCCACCCCCAGGTACTTCTCGTCCTTGTAGTAGCTCAGCGTGCCGGCGATGCCGTCGAAGAGCACGCCGATCTTGGTGGCCATGTTCTCCCGGAAGGGCTTGGTGTAGTGCGTCCAGCAGCCGCCGTGCCACAGCAGCCCCTTGTGCGACAGCCCCCAGCCGTGGTCGTCCTCGCCGAGGAGGTTGGTGAAGGAGTCGGCGTGCAAGCGCGCCTTCTTGGTGCCGATGCCGAACATCATGCTGGTGCCGAAGATGCGGCGCGAGATGTGCAGCTCCCAGAAGTAGCGGCCGTTGTTGAGGACGCGGGTGCCCCGCACGCCGGCCGTTCCGCTGCTCCAATTGGGGTGGAAGTGCGCGATGCGGAAGTTGTTGCCGTAGAGGCGGACCTCGGGGCTGCGCTCCCAGCGGTTCCACGTCCACAAGTCATCGCAGCCGTGACGGAGGGGCTGGGGGACAGGTTCCGACTCCATGGACGACGAGTCGGAACGCTTCGATTGCTATGCAGAGGACTCCTCCCAAGCGGGGGGCACGTCCTCCACGCTAAAAACGACAAGAAACGTCAAAAATGAAACATTGAACAAGTCCAAACTTCTCAAAATTTAAAACTCAATTTTTATGTTTTTTATTTGTTGTTCTAGTAAAAACAAATAACTAAAATTTTGCTTTAATTGGGTGTTTCACAATAAAATATTACACATTTTTGTTGCTCACACTTTTAATGACAATGTTGCCAACCTAATTTCAAAGTCAAAGCCCACTTTGATCTGAAACTTATGGTACTTAGAATAAAAAGCAATATCTAATAAAAAATATACAAATTCTACACACTTACAAGGTGGTCCAATTGAAAAAACATTTAAGTAGATCCCAAATAATATAAAATATTGTGTGGTTTACTTTATAGTGCTCGAAATAAAAAATAACAAGTAGAAATTATTTAATTTTAGACATTCATAATAATGAAAATAAAACTTTTTACACATTTATAGGGCAATCTGGTACTACTTTCAAATCTATTGTATTAAGTATACAATTTTCATGATTATTTTTAAAAAGTAAATTATTTTTTTTTAATTTATTAACCCCTCAAATAATAACGAAATAGTGTCCGGAAAGTTGCGCACCTTCTTGAGAGGGAGTAATTGGATAATCCCCCAGAGTGCTGAAAAAATGTTTAAAAATTCTATCTGTCAAAAAATTTTGACATTTACTTTTTGACATTTGACTTTTTTTATGCTTTTAATGATATTGATCTTTTTTTGTGCGTTAACTGTGGACTTTTTTATGTGTTCAGCTAAATAAATACATACAGGGTGTGTTAGAACTCGCGTCCCAGAGAAACATTTCACGTAAGATAAGGTACCAGGAACAAGGAAAAAATGCTTCAAAAATTCTGTCTGTCAAAAAATTTTGACAATTGACATGTTTTTTGTCATTTTTTTTATTTAATGATAATGATGATCTTGTAAGTATGTTTTTTTTATTATTTAGTAAAAGTACAAAAATCTTGCCAATAAAAGCCACAAAGAATACCAAACAGAGTTACAATTCAGGATACAGATTCCTTGTTTCCTCTTCCAATCGCCTGTAGTCAAAATGGAAAATTTAAACTCTCATAACTTCGAAATTTTTATAGATAGATTTTTTTAAACATTTTTCTTGTTGTCTAGGGCATCGCCCGATGGTACAGTGTCCCGGAGGTGCGCGACTTTCTTATACTGGATGTTTCACAAAAATGTAGTACACCCACAATAAATACTAGTAGTTGTACTGTTTACTTACACCATATTGATTGTTTCCAATTTTTAATAAAATAATTCACACTAAAATATGCAAAAAAGACGAAAGTCACTTTTATGATTCACCATATATTTACAATAACTTCTCTCACAACTTTTTTTTTGATTTAATAAATTTATTTTATAAGGAGTAATATTACTGGCTCACCCTGTATTTACATAAACCATTGTTTCAACTGGGGTTTTATTTAAGAAAGATGATTTTTACCCCTTGGCAACTACATGAGTCATGCAAAATCGATAATATGGAAACATAGCGACGAAGAAAGAATATGCAACACATAAAATCCACTCTTAATAAGAAATAAAACCACACAAAAGTCACTAACAACCACTGTCATTTAAAAAAAAAACACAAAACACAACTAAAGCAAAAAAAAATATGTTGTATACCATTGAATGATTGAATTTCCCATCCGCTTGCACAAACCACCGAAAATCTACCAATATTTCAATTTTTCCAACACACCGTTTGTGATAACAGCAGTTTGCTATATCGATTATTTCCGCGATAAGAACACAGTGTCGCTAAATCCCAAATTGGCCCAAATGAGGGCCGAAATCGCAACTTACCGTCTAATCCCGCAAATCCTGAATTCCCTTTCGACGGTCTTGGGCTGCACGTTGGTCATTTTTCTGTAATATTTAAATGCGATAACAATTAATGATTTCGGACACTGCGGACTGAATGGACTGCGCCGAAGTGGAACTAACGTCGCGACGCGTAGTTGGGGGTGCGCCGACGTGTGTGACGTAACTCAGATGATATCTGCGCGAATTGCTATGCCTGCGACATACACAAGGGTTGGGGTGGAAAAAACACCCCAAGAATTGCTTAGTTCAACGACCCGCCAATTAAGGAGCTTCGATGAAGGGGGAAATTGATTCGGACTTGAAATAATAAGGGGCAGAAGCAAACAATACAGGATTTTGCAAAATCAAACACGCTTTTTGCTATTTCAAAGAAGGCAATGCTTTTTGACAATCGTAAGGTTGAACTATACTGAATAAAAAAATAAATCGTTATTTAAATATTCTAAAAAAATTATCATAACTTTTTGATGGCCTTAGCAGCAATATATATTAATTTGAATTTTTTTGTTCTTGCCGTTTAAAAATGAATTTAAAAAAAAAACTCTATTTTTGGCCATTTTATTTTTTCACAACAAAACTGTACGGAATTTTTTTTTTATTTTTGGTGTATTGTAGATTACCTACTTATGATACATTTTGGAACTGGCTAGAGACATGCCATCTACGGAACGGTAGAGTAAATAGTTTGAAAACTGTAATTTTGTAATTTTCTGTAAAAAGACTAAAAATTGCAAATTTTTCAAATAAAAAGAATAATAATTTTTAATAAATTATGTAATATACAGGGTGAATATAAAGTATGGAACCAAGCGGTTTTATTTTTAATCATTTGCCTTCAGAAAATAATAATTATTATAAATTAAAATAATATAAAAAATGTGATCGTATTTTCAGAATGAAATTTTGTTTTGTTTTTGAGTTATGCGATTTTTTTGTCAAAATTGCAATTTATGTGAGAAATTAAAAAAAAAATTAAATATAAATCATATAGTTGTAATCCTTAGAGTATAGCTTTTATGAGAAAAATGATTTTATAGTGGGTTGCCATTTAAAAAAATATTTTTTTTTGTAGAACTCAAAAACATTAGGAAATTTTGAAAAATTTTATTCTTGTTAAAACATCACATTTTTATAGTACTTTATCACTCATCAATTAGTTTTTTCAAAAAATAAATAGTTTAGGCAAAAAACGTTTTGTTCCATACTTTTTATTCACCTGGTACGTAAAATTTTCTTCTGAAAAAAATTATGCATAACAATTAAGTGTTGCCATGACAATGGTTCTCGTCTAGTTGAACCCTTAACATAATTCATGTTACGCCCCTGCCTTTTTAACATTTTCGTAATTATCAGTATTGTCTCTTTAAGTACTTTTCAATAAACATTGGTAAAAATCTGGTTACAATTTACACTGGGTGAATAAATATCAGGAAAAAAATTCTAATTTTCAAAACCCTCATTGGCGTAGATTAGGTACGCTTATGGTTAATTAAGTTTATTGCTTTAGAATTTTGGAATAGGCTCAATTGGACCTCTTAGAACCTTCTTAAGCTTTGCGATAATTTTCAATAAAAAAATACACAAATGTCAGCTAAACTTTTCCAGTGCTTTTAATCAATACTAATTTTCATTATGTGTTGAAAAATATATATAGTAATGTAAATATACTGTTGATTGTATAGAAGCATCATGTATGTGTAGTTGTTCCTTGTCTTCTAAAAATCGACAAGTCAGTTTTCTGCAGAAAACTGTAACAAAATAACTTTTGCAATCGAAAGCGCCACAGCAGGAAATCCTGAAATAGTTTCAGCTACTGCGCGAGCTTGGCAAAGCTTTGGCTTTTGAAGCTTCAGTTTTCAGTCGTGCATGCGAGGGTTAGAATGGAGTCCCGTGGAAATGTATTGTTTGTGTTCGCGCTGCTAATGTTAACAACTTTGGTTTCTGCGCGAGCTGTATGTATTCATTCTGCACACTCCACTTGTACTATTTTATCCACATTTCTGTTTAAATTAAAGCTGGACTCGTGTTAAATTAAGTTGACGTGCTCAAGGTGTAGCTTGTGGATACCTCCCTTTAGTTAATAAATAAACGGACAGTTTGCAGTCTCCCAGTCTTGTAAATTATTCAAAGACCATGCGTACGTGCTTGTAATGCAAACAGTCGATACGAAATTTCGTGGCGGTTTCGTTGTCAATTTGAAATTTTAATAAATTAGCCTTTTGACTTTATTTGTATTCACTTTTACCAAAATTTGTAACATAGTTGGGTTTAAGATAGAAGCACTAGAAGGCAGAAATACAAAAAAAAATTCTTATTCATTTTTATACTTGACACTGTAGTAAAAAAGTTTGTAATTTGAACTGAAAAATGTGGTAAAATCAGTTTAAAAACTAGATTCTGCAACCACGTATGAAAGAGTGAAATGAATCAAACTTAATCTGAAATTTGGGTGGGCTTGTAGGTGAATATTAGCAACACGTGGATGCTTCCAGAGGAAGGTTTTCCGGTATTTTATCGTTATTTCCGGGATCGCATATCTTGGTACGAAGCCGACGCTGTATGCCAATTTCATCACTCCAATCTGGTTACCGGTAAGTGGTTGATCTTGTTAGATCATTAGCACGCTTTAGCGCTCCTGTCAATTTATTCATTTCGTATTACAAATGACGGTTCTTGCAGTATGAATACGCTCGCCCTTCCCATTTACAGTTCTGTAGAGATTATCCCGGATTTCACATTCAGAACACATGAATATTAATTATTATTAGACCTTATTCAGGCTGCATTTTCACAATCAATCTTTCCCCAAAGGTATATTTCATCTTCCAACATGTTTAGAGATTGTCTAACTAACTAAATCGGGCAAATCCTATCGGATTCGCAAATGTTTTGTAGAAGTAGTCGTTGGGACAGCCGCTCGCCCCCCATATAGAACTCATACTATTTGATTCGAAAAATGTCGAAATTGTCGGGGGCTTCGCCCTCCAACTCACACTATCTGATTCAGAATTGTCGGGGGCTTCGCCCCTCACAATACCTGATCCGCAAATGTTTTGTTGTGTAAACTTCACACTATTAGAAATGCTGATTCACACTATCGGACTCGCAAATGTTTCACCCATTTAAAATTGTACTTTGTAGGAATGTTTGTTGGCATGTATTAAAGTCTTAAACAACATTTCCTAAATCACTACCTACATTTGAAAAACGCAAATTGATTTTTTTTATAATGTAGTTTGCCTGTTAATAAATGCCAGCTTTTTGACGTTGTCTTTCTCACAATTCACAATCTCATAATTGTTAGGCATCTTCCAAACTGCTATCAAGTTTTTCCATTTCGTTTTTAACACTTCCTATGACACTGCACTGACAAGACCACCAAATAAGTACGACATTTCTTTTGATAGTTTTCTAACGTTTTTGGATACAACCTTTTTCACACTATGTAAATCTCTGAAAATTAGACAATTTTGTTTTTGACAATTTGCGTTTTTTTGCACTCAAGTGTACCTATTCCGATCTATTTTTTTGTTAGCTCAATGGGTATGACATCAATTTTTTGGTTATTCCGTCATAACCTCAAATTTCACATTTCTTGGCCACATTTCTTTTATATTGGGCTCTTAAAGTCTTAAACAACACTTCACAAATCACTATCTAATTATTTCAAGTCGACCAGTGTTCAAATTAACTGGGCTTTAAGTCGTTTTTGGCCGTTTCATGCATTATTTGCATCATCTCAATGTCAGAATAACCTTAATTTACACATTTCTTCGCCAAAATTCTTTGTAAAATAAGGGGCTCTTGTGTGTTAAATAACTCTTCACAACTTACCATCTAGCTTTTTGTCTTTCTATAGGAGGTTTTTTTTTTATAGACAAACGACATTTCGGTCGCCCTCTTTCCACAAATTCTAATTAGGTCACCCTTTTGCTTTTTTCAAATCACCAATAACGTATACTCACGTTTTTCTATCGTTTTCGTTTGATTTTCTTGAAGAGTGTGAGCCACATTGACGCGAAATGTCAGAAATGTCACCAACAGTCAGAAGTGAATGATTGAAATGCAACGCACTCTTGGTTAAAGTTTTTTTTAACTTAAAATTTATGCACCTTTAGGCCCCTTTTCTCTATAAAACTCTACTACTTTGTAGAATTATGATTGAATTTTTGTTTTTCACTTTCATTCAATCTCTACCTTTTGCCGTTTTCTGCTTTTAGTGCTTTTAATTTTCCAACAGAAAAAACAATTGCTATTGTGCGAGAGAGATGGCTAAGTTAATTTTTACACGGGTTGAGAGCGTTAGAGCTATCACGTTTTAGTAAGGTATACAGGGTGATTAGAATAAACCGACCAAAATTTTATCAGAGATCAGAGCTTCTCAAGGATAACTGGACACAATTTCTACCCTTTTTACGTTTATATCTTTTAGGGGCAAAACCCCCTTGATCCGTGCCACAGCGTTTATGAATTGTTGCAATGATCAAATACATTTTCATCAAAGTAATGGTTTCCACTATCTGTGCTAATACTAATAAATTTTATTTGCATAACGAGTAAACAAAGAACTTTTTTAATATTTTTTCCAGCATGTTCTCATTTAATACTACCAAGGATAAAATTTTGTCGGTCCATTTACGAATCACCCTGTATAAATATACTTAATACACGCAATGACAATAAAATTTTAACAGTAGAAAGATTAATAGGTCATCATCTAATTTCTCTTAGTTTTGTGTTTCACCTACTTTAACAGTTTCCAGGATCATATTTCAAACACCTAACAACCCTATTATTTCTGCTCCCTGACCACCAGACGGTCGAGTTTTCCAATTTTAAACCCTCAAGGGATCGCTCCAAGATCCATCAACTATAAAGAAAAACCATTCCACCTGTAATGTTTATTTATTCAACATGTTGCTTCATCTATTTTCAGTTTCTTATATTCGCCGTAATGCTTTTGCAACAAATTATTAAAAGTGTCGACACACACTGAGCCAGTTTTATCGCGATTGACGCCTTCTGCCCAGAGTTTTTCGAAGGAGGCATCATCAATTTTGTAGCCTGCTTTTTCAAATAAGCTTCGTAAAACGTCAGGCTTGCGAGGAAGGAAGAAATCCCGGAATGATAAACCGTAGTTGAAGTAAATACTCGGATTGAGGAGAATTGCAGCCGAGCATTCGTCCCCCAAATTCTCCAAATCAGCCCTGCAGCCCCCTAGAGGAACTATAGGACGTGACAAGTCGTCTCGAATCGATGGAATGCCCGCTGGGGGGCCATTGGCGTTATTTAAAATCAAGTAATCGCAAACGGATGATTGACTCGAAGTGAGATAATACTGATTTCGTTCAGGAACATCCTGAATTTTCATTAGTTCCAAAGGGGCTGTCTTGCTGTCCACAATGTCCAAAAATTTCATGTAAAAAATTTTATTTTCACTTATGATTGACAACAATCGTAATAGCGGTTCAAGATTTGCTCTGTCGAATGTAAAACGGTAGCAGGAACACACGTTGTAGAATGTCTCCAATGGTAAAGTGCCACTTTTGTCGCCATCATAATACATCAATCTTTTGGCAAGATCATTAGGTGTGAAATCCAGAGTAAAACGCTTGAATAAATTCTGTTTCATTTTGTTGAAAGACATGAGCCAACATTTCAAGTCTCCCTTAAACTGGCATGGTGGACAGTCGCCATCTTTCAACAACTCCTCAACTCCGTACAAATCCCTCACTGCTGGTTTTCCATAAACGAAATCTTTAGGCAACTGCTCGCTGATGTTATTCGGGCGCAAACATTCACCTAATTTGTTTCTAGTTTTGTTCAAAAAATCAGCTTGGATCTTATTGGTGTAAACCACAGGTTCGTTTTGGTGCCAAGTGCAAGCACACCTAACCCAAATTCCTCTTGGATCGTATTTCGTCCGCTCTCCGAACCGTTTTGTGCTATCGAAAGCCGGGGATAAATAATTGCGACAGATTCTCTCCCCCACATTATAGTCATTGTGCGATTTTTTGTACATTTCATGAGCAATCTGACTTTCTGTTAAAACTTGATAAACGCCTTTCGGGGGATTTACGAGCTCTTTGACTGACTCATCCTTGTTACTTTTTATTCCAAAAGTGACTTCAAGTGGATTTAATCCCTTTGGCAGTCCAGGGATTGGATCGCGACTCTTGCCGATGCATTTATTCCAGTGTGAATCGTACGAAGTCTCTTTTAGTTCATTAATCAGAGTTTGATAGCGGGTTTTTACCGGTGGTTGAAGGATTGGCTGGATTTCTGTATAAACACCTCTCTGGATTTTATTTTTGTATGGCTCAGTTTTGTATGTCGGTTTTTCTTGCGTTTCAACGTTGGCAAAATACTTCAAAGCTTTAGATGCATCATCTATGGAATATTGTTTCAAACAGTTCGCTACGCTATCTCCCAAATTATCTGATAATTTTCCAGCAGCTAAAATAAATGGAGCTCGATCGATAAATTTATTTTCGTTGGAAGCCATTTTACGAATTTTTTGTGTCAAAGTGACACAATCATTTAATCCCGAAAATTTGGAGCGAATGTTAAAAAACGTATTTTCATTTGAACAGAAAAATCCCGTTATGACAGGTTTTTCTATAAATAAACACTTAAAACCGAGGGGCCGGTAACTCTGTTATTAGTTGTACCTACACATATTTGGAATTTAATTCCAAAAATGGAATTATTAAAATTATCTTTGGAATTACAGCAATCAATTTGAAATTATAAGAATTAATCTGAAAACAGTAGAATTTCGATGCATTATTGGAATCACTAGAGTTTCTGTCGATTTTTTTAAAATTAACGGATTTTTTTTGGAATTATCGGAGATAATTTATTTTTAAAATTACGTTGAATTTCTTAGAACTTTCAAAATTATTTAATTTTGAATTAGGTACAGAAATTATTTTGGAATTACGAAAATTAAGTTGGAATTACGGAATTAAGTTGAAATTACAGGAATTAATTTGAAATTATCGGAATTATTCTTAAAACAACAGAATTTCGATGAATTGTTGGAATTAGGTATTGGATTTTTTTCTGAAATTACTGGAATTTATTTTTGAATTATCGGATATAATTTCTTTTGAAAATTACGTTGAATTTCTTAGAACTATAAGAATTAATTTAGAACTACAGGAATTAATTAGAAATTACGAAAATTAAGATGAAATTAATCTGAAAACAACAGAATTACGATAGATTATTCCTATAACTGGAATTTCGGTAAAAAATTTTCTGAAATTACTGGAATTCTTTTTGAAATTATCCGATATAATTACTTTTGAAAATTACGTTGAATTTCTTAGAACTATCAAAATTCATTTGGAATTACGAAAATTAAGTTGGAATTAATCTGAAACCAATGAAATTGCGATGGATTATTTGAAGTTTTTTTGGACTTACTGAATTTTTTTTGAAATTTCTCAAATCCTTTTTGGAATTATCGAAGATAATGTCTTTTAAAATTTAGTTGAATTTCTTAGAACTATCGGAATTATTTTTTAATTACAAAAATTAAATTGGAATTATAAGAATTCATCTGAAAACAATAGAATTTTGATAGATTACTGGAATCACTAGAATTTCGGTAGAATTCTTTTTGGAATTATCGGAAATAATTACTTTTAAAAATTACGTTGAATTTCTTAGAACTTTCAGAATTCATTAGGAATTATGAAAATTAAGTTGGAATTAATCTGAAACCAATGAAATTGCGATGGATTATTGGAAGTTTTTTTGGACTTACTGAAATTTTTTTGAAATTTCTCAAATCCTTTTTGGAATTATCGAAGATAATGTCGTTTAAAATTTAGTTGAATTTCTTAGAACTATCGGAATTATTTTTTAATTACAAAAATTAAATTGGAATTATAAGAATTCATCTGAAAACATTAGAATTTTGATAGATTACTGGAATCACTAGAATTTCGGTAGAATTCTTTTTGGTATTATCGGAAATATTTTTTTTTGAAAATTGCGTTGGATTTCTTAGAACTATCAGAATTAACTTAGAATTTCGAAAATTAAAATGAAAACAATGAAATTGCGATGGATTATTGGAACTAATGGAATTTTGGTAAGGTTTTTTGGACTTACTAAATTTTTCTAAAATTACTGAAATTATTTTTGGAATTATGGAAGATAATTTCTTTTAAAATTTAGTTGAATTTCTTAGAACTATCGGAATTATTTTCTAATTACAAAAATTAAGTTTTAATTATAAGAATTAATCTGAAAACAATAGAATTTTGATAGATTACTAATCACTAGAATTTCGGTAGAATTCTTTTTGGAATTATGGGAAATAATTTCTTTTGAAAATCACGTGGAATTTCTTAGAACTATCAGAATTACTTGGAACTTCGAAAATTAAAATGAAAACAATGAAATTGCGATGGATTATTGGAACTATTGGAATTTTGGTAAGTTTTTTCGCCTTACTGAAATTTTTCTGAAATTACTGAAATTATTTTTGGAATTATCAAAGATAATTTCTTTTAAAATTTAGTTGAATTTCTTAGAACTATTGAAATTATTTTCTAATTACAAAAGTTAAGTTGGAATTAATCTGAAAACAATAGAATTTTTAAAAGATTACTGGAATCACTAGAATTTCTGTAGAATTCTTTTTGAAATTATCGTAAATAATTTCTTTTGAAAATTACGTTGAATTTCTTAGAACTATCGGAATTATTAATTACAAAAATAACTGAAATTAATCTAAAAAATAAAATTACGATGGATTATTGGAATAATGGGATTTTCTTTGGATTACTACAATTTCGGTGGAATTTTTTTGGAATTGGAATTAGTTGTACACATTTTTTTTCATGAGCTTAAAACAATACGTTTTAATCTTTTTACGAAAAAATCAATATTCCTGAACATTATTCAGATGTTGTATATCTGAAAATATCCTTCAGGGGCTTTGTGTGTAACAGTGATAAATGACGCTGTTAGAGAGCTGACACTAAGATATTATCTATCAGTGCAAATTAAAGGGGTGTTATCGATCGTTACAATTTCAAATGCTCGGAGTAACAAATATGATTAGTGTCTTTCGCTACTGGAAGAACGCTTGTTTGGTATCACCACCGTTGTATTCTTTTAAAAATATTGTATTTGAAAGAAAACAATCAAATAAGTGGGATAAAAATATGATCCAAGACAGTCGATACGTTTTTCTTTTTGTGTTGCTGCATTCCACCGACATCGATTACCTTTTAGTAGGAAAATGTTTGTCAATTTCGACAGATCGTGACGAATTTTCGGATAAAATATTCCTGAATGTAATTCGATTCAGTATAAATGCGAATTTGGTTTTCATTTCAATTCTATATGTGCAGCAAAATCTTTTTGTAAACAGAGGGGGTCGAGCTGAAATCGATAGCGAACCGGCGAGAAGGCATTAAGTTATCTCCAACTCCAAGGCTTTTCCGTGCACGTAGTAATCAGTATACACTGTACCTACCTTCTCCTTGTAGGAATCCTCAAAGTGAACTTGCAAATTTACCCTAATTAGCTGGCATTGTCAACTCAACCTATATGTTTACCTATGGAAATGAAGAGCTTGAAATCAGATATTTGTTTCTTGTTAATGCTAAATTTATTATTAAAATGTGTTTTTAGCGGATAGCACATCACAGTACGATGCAATACGCGCATATCTCAAAGAATTAGACATTACTGAAAACGTATGGATTGGATTATCCAAAACCACGGGACGCCCTAATTTCACCTGGACGTGAGTTTTTCATAAATTTACAAAAAGTTAAAATTTTTCAATTTTGGTTATGAACAGAAATTCTCGTCCATTGTCCGGTGAGGGTCACTGGCAACAGCAGATACCCAAGGGAGACGATTCTCTTTGCACTGTCATGGATCCAGTGGCAGATTTTCTGTGGAAACCAATGAACTGTGGAGGACCTGAAATAGCGTCTTTCATTTGTGAATTACCTGGTAAGGTAACGGTACTAGTAAACTTTCTTTGAATTAGTTTCAATTTATTAAATAATAATTCTTGTTAATTATTTTAATTAAAATTATTTGTTATCAAGTTCCTTCATGGGCTATGGGTGCCAAAGGATGTCTGCTGACAGAACTACCATCTTTAACAGTTCTATACATTCCGGAACAGTCGGCACTTGAACTTACTTCAGATTGCGGTCTTGATGGGACAAAAAGGATTGCGTGCAAAGGAAACGCGGTAATGATCACAATAATTACAATATTACTGAACATAAACTTCTATTTGACAAAAAGTTGGGGTCTAAATTTTTATTACACATTTCATAAAATTAATAAAAAAATTTAGTCAAATCCTATAACAAAAGGTGTTATTTATCTTTTCCTAAACACATTTTTCAAATTAAAGGTATTAATGTAGTGGAGTGGAAAAACTTGATTCACTCTATTTCCTATCTCAACAATTATCCTGGCGCATTCACCATTTTTTATTTTAATTTAGAGATAAAAAAGAGTATGTTTGTGTCAAGATTTATTTTTATCAAAAAATATTGAATCAAAAAAAAATTGAAGGGGTGAGTGGATAAACGTGTCATGTGCATTAGCTTATATTTGGAGTTAAGCATTTTAATTTAATTTGCTGGAACTTTTTCCCAATTTGTTTTTAGTAAACAAAATCTCATGATATATAAAGGCCTTGTTATAAGTATACTTAGGTAATTATGTATGTATTTTTATAGATTTTTTAACAATCAAATTCACATGACACTTCATCCACTATAATGCATTAGTTTATATTATTAAAAAATTAATGAAAGTGTACCAAAAAACAAGCTTTATTTTCTAATATAAACTTTTTGATAACTATTGCTTTATAAAAATATTTCAAGTTTAACAAAATATTTATAAATGAAATTCTAACGACAATATAAAAAAGTCCACTTTATGCTGTTCCGAAAATTAACATTGTCATTTAAATTATTTTTTGTCTTATTTACTAGGTGTAATTTTGACTTTTCGAAAACGGTTTTTCATATTAACGCCATATTTTTCAATAAGAGACGGAATTATCTAGAAAAATTTAGACAAAAATGTATCGAAAAGACCAAATTAAGTGAAAAATAATGAATTTTGCTTATTTGCATCACCTTTTTTGGAAGATTCTGTTAAAACATTAAAAATTACCAAATTTGGTTCAAAATGACCTTTTTTTATGATTTATTGGGAGTTTTAGTAGGTTTTTCAATTAAAAATTTACAAAATTATTTCGTCACAAATCGCTAAATTTACTCAAAAATGGTGTTGTTTTTACTT